ACATAAAGGTCATAATCATAAAAACTGGATGATAATCAAAGAAACTTGTTCAAGGGCAATAATTACAGCTAATTACAGTTTAGAATGACAAATCAATCAATCAATCAATCAATCAATCAATAATAATAACAATAATAATGAAAAACCCTAAACATACTACAAAGGGGAATTAAGGCCAAGAAACGATGAGAGGTTGGACAAATCGTTTTTGCACGCAAAGTTGGTGTATCGCCAATGTCTCAGCAGTGCATAAGATTTTGATTCGACCTCCATTCGATCCAATTCCTATGACTGTGTAGATTATTTTAAAAGAAGACTCCTTTGTAGCGATATGGCCATAGTTGATTAAATGCTCCTACATTGAACCAGTAATTGTTTTGCATTCTCCTGTTGAAAACTATGCCGGTTAGTGTTCTGAGGTGCGTTTGGAAATTGATCTCTTTGTGCGGAGAATGTAACCTGCCCCATATGAGCAAATAAATTTATAGATGCATAGTGATGTGACCCAAATCGGAAGTTTATCTTTAAAACATTTATTATGCAATCTTTTCAATCCTTCTATAGACATATATTTTCCCTATAACTATAAACACGAATTTAGTTCCAGGAAGAAGTGCGCCACAAGGCAAACCCTCATCACTTGGACTCCTCAAGGCCAAAGGAGAAGAGGAAGACCAAAGAACATATTACACCGAGAAATGGAGACAGACATGTGAAGAATGAACAACAATTGGATAGAAGTGGAAAGAAAGGTGAAGGACAGAGTGGGTTGGAGAATGCTGGTCGGTGGCCTATGTCCCATTAGGAATAACAGGAATAACACAACACGAATGTTCAGCTTAAGTAAGTGATTTCGTCGAGAGGAGAAAACTTTCTTCGCTGAATTCTCTTTTTTTTATGTTGATGCAATGATACATTGGGTTATTTTAATTAACCATTTTGTTATCAAAAACAGTACATGACTCAATATTTAATAAGAGGTCGCTAAAATAGTTTGATGAGATAAATAACATTTATAAAAATGGTCATAATCGAAACGATCACTAACCGTCATTACACCGTTGGATGCCAGCTCAATCGTCTAGAGATTAAGCGTAGGCGCATGGGACTAATAGGTTCTGGATTCGAATCCCACGAGGCAGGTTCGTAGATGCTCAATTCTGATAAGTCCCACAATAGGAAGAAATAGCTGTCCAGTGCTTCCAAGTTTTCCATGGTGATCTAGATTCAATTGACTCATGATTTCAACTATTAAATAACTTTAAAATGACAAATCAAAACATACAAAAACATTTTTTTGGAAAACGTATCAATGAAGATCACATTACTGATCATAACATAGTGAACAAAATTATCTTCTAAGATATAGTATACAGAATTTACATCGATCTGTCTATGCATACCACATATATTAGTGTTACAAAGCTTATTACATAATACTTTATTAAATGTACATCTTATAAACAACAATCACATTGAACGTTTGTTGTTTTAATAATTCATCATTGAATGACCTTGTTCTTTACATACTACTTTCAAATAAAGGTCAACAAAATATTTACACTATGACTTGATTGATTAGTTTAAGATTAATGATACTATTCTCTTTTTTATTTTAATAAACTATTTAAACTATTCTAAGTGTAATATTCATATTCAAATACTGGTTATAATATTAAGTTAGTTAATTACTAATGTCGAATGATTGGGAGCCTGCTAGAGTTAAACTACGAAGTTACACCTCACGATCAGCACCAAATGTGGTTTACTCCTTTGGCGTATCATGGTACTATGGCTGCTTTAAAGACCGTGTAACACAAAGGACGTTATTACGGAAATATATTTGTAAGAACGACTACGGAGAAGATATTGAGACCACCAACACATGGGTCAGTCTATGGTATAGGATTAGTTGATATGTGTTGGTTATCCTTGACCTTGAAGCGAATCGCTGAACTGTTCGATATTCAGTGACCTAGCTGTTGGATGATGTGGCTAAGGTGGTGAAGCGTTCACGCGTGAGACTGAAAGTCCTGGGTTCAGATCCAGCGTATAGGATCATGGATACACACTGATGAAGTGTCCCAGCCTAGAACGAAACGGTTATCTAGTTCTTCCAGGTTTTTCAATTCATGAATTCAACAACCCAAATTACTACAGTCTCCATAAACTCGCCATTCTCATTTATAATTACCATATATTAAGATATACCGCTTACTATTGAATGACATGTTAAAATAACAACTAATTGAGATTTTGTACTTAAAATTAAGTACAGACCATATTAAGTGATTTTCAACCTAGAACTTGATTATCAAAATTTGTATCCTATTAGTGACCTTATTTGTATTGTTTTCTAAAACAAACTAACATAAAATAAATCCTACCATGTACTGAATCTAGTTTATAGAGTTTGTGATTAGTTTATCTAAACATGGTTGATTTTGTTGAGTTATCAAAAACTGTTGGTTAGTTGTGTAATCCATGTATAAATAATCAAGATGAGAAACTGATACTTACCTATTTACTTACGCCTGTTACTCCTTATAGAGGAGCATAGGCCGCTCACCAGCACTCTCCATCAAACCCTGTCCTGGACAATTCTTTCCAGTTCTTATTCATCCTTTTCATATCTCCTTCTCTTTCCCAACGTAATATGTTCTTTGGCCTTCCAATTTTCCTTTTTGCTTCAAGATTCCAAGTTAGGGCTCGCCAAGTGTTGTAGTTTTGATTTTTTGCGTATTGTATGTCCTATCCATTTCTATCATCTTTTCCTAATTTAACCTTCAGCTGGATGTTGGTTTGTTCTCATACTTTAAAAAGTGCTATATTCCATCCTTGGTCACGACAAATCACTTTTTATAAGTATGATGGTCAATTAATAACTATAATCAGATCGCCTATTACTTATACTTGAAAACGAGAAATCACTGCACAGAACACTGGTATGAACGAAGATTGATTCATTCCAAAAAACACAATGACCTTAGTTGAAAATACACTCATTTATATATTGATTTATACCCCCTGTTTGATCATTAATTAGAAAAAAAGTCATATGTATGAAATTATAACAAAACCGTCATTTGAATACCATGCTGAACATGTAGTGGCTGACCCTATGTGAAGCTCATATCATTAGTACGATCTAATTAGAGTCAGATCTTGGGCCACTAAAACGCATAGTTCTTGTTAATTCAATACAAAGAATATCATACTGAATAACAATCATACTGAATATAAAACAGTTATCCTACAGAATTAAAAAGTGAAATAACACTCAACAACAACTATGCTGAATTAAGAAACAATGTGATCTCTCCTGTTTATCCTGTCTGATTAGAATGTTCTTCACATAGTGTATGAAATCACCTATCCAGCACACTGTTTACTTATCCCAACTTTCTATAGGAATTCAATCCCCATGAAATATGCTATTTCAGCCTTATATATAATCGCATCAGTGACATCCCAACAAATTAATGCTTACCTTGTATTAATGTCATTTAACTTAAGATTACTGATATTCAGTATTGCAATAGATCAGTTTCAGTTATTGTATATACATCATGAGTGAATTCTATTCTTTCGACAATTTTTTCTGGTACATTTACTCAGTAATTGGCAGTTAAATCCAAGACGCATGTTAATCCTACTTGTTTACAGTTTGTTGGCATTTAAAACGATAGGTACTAGGTTCTAATCTCATGGTATTGAAGATCATTATTGAGATCTAGGTACTACTGTACAAGAAAGCTTAAATAAGACAAAACGTGCATCTTTCATTCCACTACTAATTATATACTAACCATACTAAAATTGATTTTCTTCCATCAAAATCTATAAACTAGTATAGTGTGTGCTACTAATATCGATAAATATAAATAGTATGTATCATCAATTGAAAGTGAAATGTCTAGCAGCAGAAGATTAAGAACATTGAAGAGAAGAGCATGAGAACAGAGAATGATTGGTATGGAAACGAAGAAACAACAAAGTCTGAGATAATTGATTGACAGTTTACAAATTCTTCTCAGATTTTACTAAGACGTTCTATGATGTTATATTCAAATACAATCGATTTTCCTCAGTTGTATATTCTTGTTCACTACATTATTGCATTACAATATTTCATTATATCATTTTTTTCTTAAAACTAAATTCGTCTTTAAGCAAAGTTGGATAATGGCTAGCAGTAGAATCCAGGACTTGTGTTTCATCCTACTTGGAACTCATCAGCTGGATTTACCCACATCGTAGAGTTGATGTTCACTCCGGGACTCGAATATTAATTCTACGATGCAGGTAATTCCAAATGACAAGTCCCAAATAGGATGAAATATGCGTCAAACTGGATTCCACTCCTAGTCACTATCGATCTTTGCTTAAAATGCATGTGACTTAAGGTTATATCGAGGCAATCCACACAAGATTCACATATACCAACATAAGAATGATCTTTGCAGTCTTAAATAACAATGGGAAGATACAAATAAAACAACACCAAGTGAATATAAATTTTCTTCTTTTATTCCTCTCTCTTTTTCTCTTAGAAAGATGATTATCAAATCATTAAAAAAAAATTTTTTTTATTCAATGTACACAAATCAACATTTTGTGCCTCCTATTTTTTTTGGTTCAAAATGTATTAACCAATCAAATTATTAGATTCCGTTATTTTTTCTTCATCAAATTCAATTAACCAATCAAAACGAAGCAATGAAATATATTTGTCTAAAAAAATCTAAAAATAATTTATTCTAATCTGATGAAATAAGTAATATGTATACAACATTAAAAATAAATGAACATAATAACCATGGTATAGAATGGATCAAGATTGTTTACTGTATGGATTCTATATAAATTTCCTCTTTTAAGTTTTTTGTTGCTGCGGAAAAAGAAAAAAAACAATTTAGTAACTATGTGGAAACAAACATTAAAATTTTAATTCAAACAATCAATCAATCAATCAATCGATCGATCAATAATTATCAATAATGTATTTCTATGAATTTTATTTATTTCTAATTATTACATCATTGATATATTATGTGAATGGACAAAATAAATTATATTCATCATTACGTTCAAGACGTTTATTACCAGCTGATTCTTATACAATCTTAGGACAAGCTGGTTTAAGACGTTTAGGACAATGTAATATTACTTATGCATGGTTAACATCACCGCCAACATCAAGTTTAGATGCATATGGTCATGCGACAGCATGTAAAAGATTACAATTATTAAATGGTGAAATAATACCTATATCATCATCATCATTATCATCTAATGATTATTTAAATAATGATGAAGATTTAAATCAAGCTGAAAAAGACTTAAACAATATTAATCATGAATGGTCAGCATCATTAATTGATTTAGAACGTTTAGATTTATTAATACGTGCTGAAGTCATCGGTATTGGTCAATCAAAACAATTAGCGAATGATCCAAGATATTTTTTTCTTGCTGATCGTGTTGGTGATTTAAATTTAATGGTTGTACTACGTCCAGATAAACAATTAAAATTGGAATTAATTAATCCATTAGCATCGGAACATTTAGTGTTAACACCGCAACATGTTCTTTGTCTACGTAAACAATGTCCATCTAATATAAATGATGTCAATATAAATATATCAAAACAAGATAATAGTAGTCTTATCATTGGAACGAATAATGTAGCATTAACTAAAGCTGAACGACAAAATCGGGAATTATATATGCAATTAGTTATATCACGTGTTGCATGTGCTTTAATTAGTTTTATGTGTGTAGTATTTGCAATGACATCATTAACCTTATGTATACGTCTTAGACAAAATCCACATTATTTTAAAAAACGTATGATACGTTCATCTCAAGCTAGTATATGTAAAGAATCACATCCATCACCGACACCATTTTGTCAAATGAATGGTAAAGTTAATATGAGTCAAGTATCACCATTATTTATAACAGATCAATCACCAAGACATTATGGTATAACACATATACCAAGTGAAACTGCTAGTATGAATAATATTGTAATGACAGCAAGTAATATAAGTACATGTGATCCACAAAATGGTTTACAAAATATTCCTATTTCTTATTCAGCATTAAGTACACAATATGCACAAATATCAGGTTATCCAATGACTGGTGCACCTATTGCATCATATAATGATAATTCTGGTTTAATTACAATTTATCCAATACCATCACATGGTTCAATTAGTTCAACTCAACGTGGTTTATTATTACAATGTCAAAATGGTTCAGTAAGTCCAGCACCTTCAAATAATTCTGATGGAAAAAATGGTATTACACGTACTGGTTCATTAGGTAGATATTCACGGAATAGTGTTTGTTATGGTGATACTACACGGAAGAAATTATTGTATCAAATTAAAAAATCACATCAAAATTCAACACAAACAATTAAACAACAACAACAAAATGATCTTAATACATCATTATCTAATAATCGTCCAATTCCGATAGTTCAACAACAACAACAACAACAACAACAACAACAACAACAACAGCAACTTCATCAATCTATGAAACATGATGATCATTTATCAAGTAAACCGGATGATTTAATCTCTTTTCAATATACACCTAATTTTACTACAATAGTACATCGTTATCCAACAGAATTACAATATAATGAAATGAAAACTATTCCTAATATGGATATAGAAGAAACAAATTCAGATTTATTAAAATCGAATAATTTTAATCATATTAATGAACCATCTATTAGTGTTATACGTAAACCAGCTCATGTGTGAATGAATTGAGGTTAAACATTGAAGTGCCTTTATTACTTAAAAATAAATCTGTTTCAGATTATATAAACAAAACTTGAATTAGATTCATTATTCAATATGATATAAATGAATGTTCACTTCATTAAAACAAACAAATAAACAAAAAACAAGATTTTACATCATTGAACATTGAATATTCTGGGTATATGAACAAAATGGATATCTATCTATCTACATATATAAAACAGTTTAGTAAGTTGACCAAATTAATTATGTATATCCCTATGTATGTACGTAGGTATGCAGGTATGTATGTATGTAATGAATTATTTACTATTATAAATGCGTTAATTGAACATTGTACATTATAATAGACCGGTTTGTGTTTCGCTCTCTCTTTTTTTCACTTCATTAATTAGTGAACTTCTTTTTCAAAAAAAAATAGCATTTGTTCTAGTTTCTGTTGGTGTTTTTTTTTCCTGTTTTTGTTACTGTTTTCTTTATATTTTAAATGGTTTGAAACAAATACTGGTTCACTCTATTGTGGTGATCGTCCACTTTTTTTTTCTCTTTTCTTGAAAACTTTATCCATGAGCAAGTGAACACTTTTTAAGTGATATTTCGAAATATCTAAATGAATTAAAGAAGGTTTGCTTTTCTTATTTATATTAAACTCTCACAGATAAAAAACAACAGTTTACTGTCATCATGATTGTTTTGTTTTGCTTGTTTGTTTGCTTTAAAGAAGAGAAAGGAAATCGGTTTCACCATTGTAAACAACTATCATCTTTTATGATGTAATGTGAAGACTGAAAAGAAACCAATGTATCTTACTGATATCTTCTTTTTATTAAGTTGATACTTATCAAATTGTTGGGTTATCATGAAATGGTGTTTTTAAACTTTATTTGAAATATCAGAATGTTATTTTCAGCATTAAATAGTGATAGCTGAGGAATTATTGGGAAAATATGAAGTGCAAAATGAATAATATGTCTTAGATTGAAACTCTTTAGAAATGTTGAACTAATCATCAAAACTATTCAGGACTAATATGCATGAAGTAGGACATACTATAATGTCTAGTAATCAATTGTTGTTAGCGACGTTTCAGTTCAAGAGAACAAAATTATCACAGTTTAATTTTTGTTTGAGACTTATATTGAAATACTTTAAAAGTCGACAATTTTCTTTATATTATCTCGTCAGAGAGTAACTTATCAGGTAGTTAATATTGTTGTTACTAAGGTGATTTGTGGAGATTGTAGCCTTTTTGAAAGTTGAAATCATGAGTTGATCTAAGCTCAATCATCATTGAAGACCTGAGAGCGATGGATGACCTTTTCGTTCCAGTATGGGACTCCTGAGAACTGCGTGTTCACGATCCCATACGTGACACTCTAATCCAGGACCATTATTCTAGTGCATGAATGCTCAATATCTAGACTACTGAGCTGGCATCCAATGATGTTCATTTCTAACTTCAATCGATCCATTAACATATAAAACCCTTTATATATTGTCTGAGGTGGATAACTATTTCACATCTGACATGGATTGGACTCTACTAGTCATGGCTTTTCACTAGAACTCCAGCAGTTACATCTTGAATCTAGTTACTAGTGAGTACATAATTGTTATCAGTATATGGATTTGTACAGATTATTAACTTTAGACAGATATCATAAATAGAACGTTACTGTAGAATCCTATACTAAGACGAAACAGTCATCCAGTACTTTCCACGTTTTCAATGGTGGTCTAACATTGTCCCATTCATAATATCAACGTAGACTAGTTTTTTTTAAAAAAATGTTTACCGTATTATCAACATCTATTTTACTTACATGTGAACATTATAAATGAACTATAATTATTCACTTTAATAACTTACTAAACCACAAAATTGAGCGACTCATAAACTCAACTATTAAAATTACTACAATCTTCACAAAACTTCGTCTGAAACTTACAAACATCGAATATGTTACAACAACAACAACAACAGCAAAGCAAAAAGCAACTACCCTAATGTTTCATAATAGTTTATTTCTAATCAGTCAACTATCTAAGATACTATACACCATAGTAACAAAACAATAAACGAAAAAAACAAAAACATTTTAAGATTCTAATCAATTCAGAAGTTTTGTTTTCACACACCAAAAAAATTTATCTTTAATTTTAACTCATGGGGTGTTGTTGTTCTTTTTTTTTTTGCTTTTTTTTAACACGATGTCAAGATCAATGCACAGTTGTAGATCAGTAAAATTTGTTTCTATACTAATTGATCGACTGATTGATTGGTTGGTTGATAATGAAACTTAGTTAAATTGTATACTTAGAATTAGACTTAATAATAGGTTACAAAACAGTTTGAATCTATCTAGGTATAGAGATAGATATAGATATATGTGGATGACAACCAGCATCTTATAAAAAAAAACAGTAAAGAATTCTAGAAGTACATTATTTCATTGTAATATAATCGATAATTAAACAGATCTTTATCGTTTTTTTCTGTTTTTTTTCTTTTCTTATCTTTTTTTCTTTCTTTCTTTTCTCTTTTTTGATACAAAATTTGTTTAAATTGAAAACAGTAAACAGTAAAAGTGAATAGACATGAGATCCTACCTTGATTGTACTTTAGTTTAGATAATATAATCATTTTTTTCCTTTTTAAGGATTAAACTTATAATCTAATCAATCAAGTATAAACTACAATTTTTCAATGTTTCAAAAGTACTTCATATCAGAAGGGGGTTATTTGTGGATATTATAGTTATTTTAAAAGTTGAGATAATGATTCAGTTGAAGATAGATCACTATGTAAAATCTGAAGGCATTGAATGGTGGTTTCGTCTTATTGTGGAACTCCTCAGCAGTGTGTATTCACGAATCCGCCTCGGGAGATTTGAACCCGGTATCTATCAGTGTCGCGTACTAGCGATTAACCACTGAACTACTTAGCTGGCCGGTATACAACGGTGTTAATTTCTAGTTTCAACTGAATGTTCCTGGATTCGAATCCCGCGGGGTAGGGTCGTGGATGCGCACTACTGAGAAGTTCCATACTAGGACGAAACAGCCGTCCAGTGTTTCCAGGTTTTCATTATGGTCTAGCTTCAACTGACTCATGATCTCAATTATTGAAATAAATTTGATTCAAAACGAGGAGGAATTTCAATCACCTCTATTGATGGGAGTATTATATCTGTGTTGTCTATCATGTTTTTTTTTTACATCTGATTCACTGTCTAGGTGATGTTTACTAAATTTTAAATTCTTGAAATTGACAGTGGAGTTGTTGTGAGTTAATACTCAGGTAGGAAAAACTAATTTATTACTAAATGCAAAATTGCAGAGTTCTTTCGTAAAGTGTGATAATCATACATTAAATAATTCATTGGCATGTATACTTCATCAATTGTCCTTTACATCCCTCATGATTCTTACAATTCTCAATTCCTTTATGTTTCTCTTCATATTATCTTCAGTTTAACCTTCTCAACCGTCTTTTGATAAGTATTCTACTTCTGACTGTTATTACATACTACTTACATCGACAGTGCAGATGAAGACAACTAGTGTAGCATCAACCTCTGAATCAATGGGCCTCAACATACACAAATGAAAAAGCAGGATTCTCAAATATAACGCGGAAAACACCAACTCAATTACACTTGATAGAGAATCTCTGGAATATGTGGAATATTTCACGTACCTGGGATACATCATCGATGAACAAGTAGCATCTGATGCAGACGTCATGTTACGAATTAGAAAAGTAAAGTCAACATTCTTACACTTGAAGAATATATATGGAACTCAGAACAACTCTCTATCAACCAATATCAAAGTCACAAACTCCAATACGAATGTCAACACAGTTCTCTTATACAGAGCTGAAACTTCGAGAACTATCACAACCATCATCAAAGTAGTACAAGTATTTGCAAACAATCGTCTATACAAGATGCTCAATGTCCGTTGACCAGATGCCATCAATATCAGCTTACTATAGAAGAGAACAAGCCAGATTCCAGCTGAAGACGAAACTAAGAAAAGACAATAGAAGTGGATAGGACATGCATTACGCAAATCACTAAACTACATTACGAGGCAATCACTAACTTGGAATCCTGAAGGGAAATGTTGAGTTGAGAATTGGAAATAGACATGAAAAGGATGAATAACAACTTGAAATCACTGTAAAAGATTACCCATTCCAGGGTTGGATGGAGAGTGCTGGTGGGCGGTTTATGCTCCTCCACGAGGTGTAACAGGCATATGTAAGTAGGCTACATCGAGAGACATCTGTATCACACACCACAGAGTATGACCAATGTTATTCATGATCTGACTGATTAACATTGTTAGAAAAAAAAACTCAATTATTTATCAGGATCAAAGTGTACATCATATTTATAACGAATTCACAATGTTACATAATTAGTTACAACGGTCACAGAGTTATTATCATTATCAGCTTTAGTTTTTCTTTGAAAAATAATCTTCTGTTATCATATTTTTGTTTAATTGATTAAAGACTAAAACAACTGTACTATGTAAGGTGTACGATTATGTTCATCATAGATAGAATCATTATTGATTTCGCTGATAAGTTCAACTTCAATATGTTCATCATGAATATTTATGTAATAACCATATGAATTAGTTGCCAAATCTGTGTATGAATTGTATATCTTTTATTAACTATGTAAATAAATCTTAGAGGAATGCAGTGATCGAATTGATTAGTTCACAACACCCCACCCCCACCCCACCCCCGAAAAAATTGGCTAAGGTTTAAATCATATTAGATTTCAGTAGTTGAAATCATAAGTCAATTGAAGAGAGACCACCATGGTAAGCCTGGAAACAGTAGACGGTGGGATCGTGGATGCGCACTACTGATGAGTCTCATACTCGGACGAAACAGCCGTCCAGTGCTTTCAAGTTTCCCATGGTGGTCTAGCTTCAATTGACTCATGATTTCAGATAATGATAGTTCTAAAATC